TTGACGTGACACTGATCACTGCATTCAAAAAAATCAAATTTAACCTGTGTTCGGCAGAATATTTCAGTTTAGTGATTAATAGTTGATATTATATGATATTATATCATATCATATTATATTATATTTTATTATATTGCATCCTTCGTGCGGCGCTGCTCTGAAAGACGTAAAACAGAAAAATAAAAAAAAAAAAAACGGACTATTTCAAACACTGGTATAACGTTTGAAGTCACACACACTCATATATAGGTGTATGTGTGTGTGAATGAATTTCTTTCTCTTCATTTTTAATCATATATATATATATATATATATATATATATATATATATATATATATATATATATATATATATTAACTATATTTAGATCTATCTATGTATCGATCTATGACGGCTTGTTTCAGTTTTTATTCATAAGTAGACATGTTTGTGCGATTGCATGCATCTATGCTTTCCTATATGTATATAAGTATTATTACGCGTGCAATATATAAGTGGATGTCGCAGGTATCTACTTCCTAGGCAGTTCATTCATATCTATTTCTTTATTGATCACTATTTTTATCTCATTCTGTTCATATCTATTCATCAGTCTATCAATTTATTGATCGCATCTCTCTCCCCCTCTTTTTTGACACCTCCCTCACTCTTTGTTTGTTTGTTTGTTTCTTTCTTTGCTATAGGCTGTCCATTCATTGGCGAACGATTGGTCCCCATACACGCATCGATGATTACATGTGTCACCTCCGGCCAGCATGTAGACAAACTTATATACATATGTATAATTTCACTTCATACATGTCATTCAACAACCCCACTCCCGACCTCTGGGATGCACACAGAGGCACACAAATACACTAACGATACAACTCTAGTTCTCACTCATACAAGTTACAATATATATATACATACATACGTACATACATACATACATACATACATACATACATACATATATATATATATATATATATATATATATATATATATATATATATATATATATATATTGATTGGTCATTCTAGATTTTGTAACAACGTTTTCCCCTTGCAAAGGATCGTTAATTAATTTGAAACTTTTAAACCATTTATTTTACATTCAACATCATCACTTGATAAGACACCGGAGGTGTTGAAACAAAATGACTATTTTGTAGTGATTTTATAACATATTTATGTTATAATTTTTAAATAAATATATATATATATATATATATATATATATATATATATATATATATATATATATATATATATATATATATATGATTATTATATATACTCTCATTTTCCGAGGGCACTCGTCTGCTAGTGTGGCTAGCCAACACCTGTCACAAACACCTTTTTGTGTTAGTTCGTTATATATCTGTAGTTTATATTGCAGTTATGCTGAGTGTACCTTATTTACAGTTTCTGGGAGAAACCGCATAATCTGTGATAATAAGCATTTTAAAGAACGCTCGGCCAAGATGACTTGTGTCGTCGTGCCAGCACAACCATTGACGACTGCCGAACAGTTCCGTTCACTTAATTTCACTCACGAGACTTGCTACAAAGCGGTGATATGATTTCCAGACACTTTTCCAAGTGGATCGCTTTCCGAATCCTATAGCATTAAAAAAAAAAAAGACCTTCCTGACAAATCGAACATGGTGAGATTTGAACCCGGGTCTCATGATTGGAAAGCAAATCTCACACGCGCCCATATCTCTATCTCTCTATATATATATATATATATATATATCTATATATATCTCTATATCTATCTATCTATATATATATATATCTATATATATATATATATATATATATATATATATATATATATATATATATATATATATATATATATATATATATATATATATATATATATATATATATATATATATATATATATATATATATATAAAGTGAATATAGACGCAATCGTCAGGTGGCCTGACGATTGCATCTAGCATGAAACAGACTGTCCCCACCTAAGTGTTGACTTATGTTCACTTTTATTTTTACACACGCTGTATCTCTCATATTGAGTACTTTATCCCATAAATATAGCACATCTTAAGACTATATTTCTTTTATATATTTATATATATATATATATATATATATATATATATATATATATATGTGTGTGTGTGTGTGTGTGTGTGTGTGTGTGGTTTAAAAGACACGATTGTCGGATACTCAAGAAACCAATCTTTCCTGTTTTTTGAGTCGGGTTCGTTACACTCACCTACGCGCAAATACCCCTGGAAAAATATGAACCTGTCTCCCCCCAATTATGGATTAAATAGCAGAACTTATATCTGGTGAAATGATTATTATTCTTAAAAAAACCCAAAAAACAATGCCCTTTTCACTCGCAAAAAGAATTATTCTTACAATCCCATATAGGTTTCAGCTTTAAATATCCCACAAAGAGTTGATAAAATTTAAAAAAGCAAATCGAACATATTTCGGTTCAAAATTCACAAAAGTTTACCGAGTATGACCTTTGAAGAACATCGGCATGAACAATAGTCGAATCATGTCTACAAAAGCCGCTCT